CGGTACTACTGGTAATTGTAGTTGTAGCTGTGGTGGTGGTGGTGGTAGTGGTGGTGGTAGTAGTAGTAGTAGTTGTTGTTGTTGTTGTTGTAGTTGTAGTTGTAGTAGCAGTAGTAGTAGTAGTTGTTGTTGTTGTTGTCGTTGTTTGTCTGTCTGTCTGTCTATCTATCTATCTATCTGTCTATCTGTCTATCTGCAAGCTTGAAAACGAAGCTATTCTGCGAGACTTCCTCAGCTTTTGACCCTGGCAACATCAAAAATGCAGCAATGCTGCGAGATTTCCTCAGTTTTTGAACTTGACAAGGTCAAAAACGAAGGAATTCCGCCAGACTTCCTAAATTTAACATCGAAAACGAAGCAATTCTGGGAGACTTCCTTCAAAAATAGAAAGTTGTGTGCAGAGCCAACGGCCTCGTGCCAATGCGTTTTCAGTCCATGTGTCTAAAGTACTGCGTCTGCCACGAAAAAGTGAGGCCAGGTCATACGAAGTGCTGCACCTGCCACACAAAATCATCACAAATCATCGCCCGAAGACTGAAGATCTGATGCTCCAAAATGCAACCTTTCTGGGGAAATCAGTGCCCGGACCTCCCAACATCTCTGATGAGCATGTCTCTTGCATCGCGCCTGCCACGGAAAATGCATCTTTGCAGATCCTCTTCAAATGCCCCACGCCTGCCAACGCTTTTGAAAGTGCTACAAAACCCTCGGGTTTTGCTTGCCTTTGACAAGGTGCATAGTTCCTTGCGCCTGCCACAACACGACATCTGAACATCCAAAAGTGGTCCGAACATGTGGTGTTTTTAACATTTTGACTTGGAAATGTGTTTCGCGCCAGAACGCCGTGCACTTTTTGAACGTGTCATGTTCCAAAAGTGCTCCTACGTTGGTGTGTTTTTGTCGTTTTTACTTCGAAACGTGCTTCGCACCACAACGACGTGCACTTTTCCGACATCTCAACTTCCAAAAGTGGTCCCAACATGGTGTGCTTTGGACTTGGAAATGTGCTTTGCGCCAGGACGGCGCGCATTTTTGCAACATCTCAACTTCCAAAAATGTTCCGAACGTGAGGTGTTTTTAGATGTTTTTAGCTTTTTCACTTGCAAACATGCTTCGCGCCACAACGGCGTGCAATTTTTCATCTCTCATCTCCCCAGATGGCTCCGCACCATTCCGCACCCGCCGCTTTAGCGAGCCTACTTTGTGACCCTCAGCGGCCACAAACCATTGGAAAGACACAATGAATCGCGACTTTTCTGCCTTTTCGCGCACCTGCATCTTCTTTCTTCTCACTCTTTCTCTTCTCTGATCCTTCCTCTTCTGCTCTTCTCCTCTCTGGCTCTTCCCATTCTTGGCTTTTCCATCTGTCCATATTGTCGGAAGTTTGACTTCTAAATTTCCTTCGAATTTTTCACTGTTTTAGTTTAGCATATACACGCAGGTATGTACACATTACACATACATATACATGCGCATACACATACGCATAAACACATGCACATGCATGCACAGCACTGCGTTGCATTGCATTACATTACTGGGTGGACTGAACCCTCCGAATGTTTGTGGAACCCGCCCTCCCACACTTTGAAGGGAACATTCACAGAGAACAAAAAGAAACATGTGAGTTTCAAGTTTCCACAACGATATTTGTTTGACAAGTTGTCAAAGTGAAACACTCTCTTAAACATGCGCATAGATATTGAGGAATTATTTGTTTAGCACCGCCATTCCACGTAACCAAATCAAAGTGATTAATTAATCAGGGCCTTAGCCGAGGGCCCTGATTTTGCGCGATGAATAACGTACTTGTATATGTAAACATAAGTACATGCATATACGCAGACACACGCACACACACGTACATATACAAATGTATAGATATTATATAGTATTTTTGTATTTGTTTTTTTGCTTCTGCAGGCTGCTGTGGCTGCGGCCCATGCGGAGGCTGCTGCATGGGCATGCCAGGCATGCCGATGATGCCAGGCATGGGAGGTGCCCCGCTTCAAAGTATGCTGCATTGTTGACCTCGCAGCAACATACTGCAACGATTCCCACAAAATGTCCAGAGTACTTTGGAATGTGGACCTTCAAGTAAGTGAATCTGAATAGATGATTGCAATTTGCAGGTCGGACAGAGCGAGAGATTGCACTACATAATGTATGACAATGTGAGATAGTGTACAGTATGTATGCACAGAGCGAATGCCTTATGGATGACAGATTTTAGAACTTCGGTAATTCTCCCATGCATTTGCAGGTGCAGCGCCCGGAGCTGCACCTGGTTCGCCAGCGCCCGGTGCTGCACCGGCAGCAAACTCTGGCGCATCCGGTGAGTCAGGCCTGCCACTGCATGGAGCATGGCACCAAACCCAGAGAACAGAGGAGAACAGAGAGAATGCAGAGGTTTTGGTAAACTCTGGTTAGTTTTGAAACTTTCAAGTAGCTTTGCTGACTGTGGATATGGGAATGATGTGCAACATGATATGATCACTTAGAATCCTTCAAAAGTGTTTCTACGCGCGTGATGCCTCAACTTTGCCACTTTTCGGCAGACTGTTTGGCCTTGTCATACCGTGTCTTCCTAGACCAAGACATGCAGAGCCAACCCCTCAAGCCACGATATGCCACCATTGACTCCTGCAGGTGATGCTGAGGCTGAAGGCCCGGGAAGGGTGGAGATGGGAAGGCCTTCAGCGCCACAGCACAGGGGTTCATCGCATGTCATGGTGTTTTCAATCCGCTTGGATCCATTTGGATCCGCTTGGCCTGTGATTGATTTGGGTGCCATTTAGGTGCCTTCATGCCTTTCATATCTTTCGTTCCCTTCCTACGTGTGCAGGTGGCAGTGGTCCAGTGAAAGAAGGCGGTGGTGAAAATCGCTTCCAACCCTATTGAAAAAATCTCACAGAAGTCAGAAGTCAGACATAGCCCATAGTCCCATAGCAAGGCTAGCCACAGCGTGAGCCGTCAGAAAGTCTCGCACGGTTTGTGTGAGCAGCTTTTGCTGTGACCCATAGTTGGTTGATGCTGGCTTTTCGGCAATGGGTAGCTGCAAACGAAGCCGCCTACTGAGACTGGAACACAGAAATTACATACCGGAACAGAAATTACGTCAAACTAAAGGACGGCGGTTTGAACCCTGATTCAGGCACTTTCAAACAACTGACACAGAACGATGTCACGTCGATGCCTTTCAGCCAGTGTCTTTGCCACGACTTCTTGGGCTTGAGAAATGTACCAATGTAGTGGTGGAGGAGAAAGGTAGGAGAAAGGTCTTGGAGAGAGATGCGCTCGAGCGAAAAGCGCTTCACTGTTGCAGCGAACCTTTGTTTCAACCAAGGTTGTCTTTGTGGAATTGGTTGAAAACATCAATTTATCAGACCATTCATTTGGAAGAGAAGCTGGGAGCAAGTTTATTGTTTTGTCGTGCGCACACGCCAGGACTCACATTTCACATTTTCCTGGGATGGATGAATCACAGAATCATGACATGTCATGTCTCTGTGTCAGCACTTGGGCTCCAAGGTGTGTGGTCTTATGGCATATCGGGGGAATGTTGGTACCCCGCTTGACAATCCCTGCAGCCATTAGCAAACTGCTAAGTCTCATGATGTCTCATGCCACCATCTCGGTGGAATAGATTGAATAGATATTCAATATTATTCAATAGATTATTCAATAAAGTCACCAAGAGAATCCCAGGATCATGAGTTGAGATATGGGGCCAGATTTTGAATAAACCCCTGCACAGCTTTTTGGTGGCACGGGATCTCCAATGGCAGGCCGTGCCGTTAGGTGTGGGACCCAAACTCCACAGATCTCCTTTCATTGCCAAGCTTGGTAGATACGTTCACAATTATCACAATTATCACAATTATCACAATTTAAGAAAACACCCCTCTTTGACTGGATTGAATCGATGGGTAACTTGCCAAGTGCGATGTGCTGGCTTATGGGCCCTTCGCTTGAACAAGTTAAACCTGGCTGTCTAGGACCGGCTGGCTGGCAAACGGCTTATTTACGTCATGGGCAGAGGAGCATGGACCTCAGCAGTTCCTGAGTTCATGTGCATTTCATTGCATTTCATTGCATTTCATTGCATTTCATTGCATTTCATTGCATTTCATTGCATTTCATTGCATTTCATTTCCACGCGCACACGCACAAGACATATATTTAATGATTTCAATATCTTGTTGTGTTTGTAATGCCTATACCAAAGAATGAGCATGTCCTTTAATATCCTGTATCATATTGTAACGCATTGTCTGTGACACACGCGCTTGCAATCACAAATTTAAGGTTTTCAGCGTTCGTAGCTGGAACCCCGCCAAAGGCCATCTCGCGGATTTGTGAGCATTTACTACTCCACTACACCCAGTCTTGTTCTGTTTGTGCGGAGCATTTTCAAGCAAGTGATGTTGGATACGGTCAGCGCCAGTGTTCTGCCAGGCCCAAAAAAAGGTCTCAAAGCGCGCCAAGCGACACATGGATGAAGCTGGCGCGACTGGGCTTGATACGGTTTGATTCTCTTGATTGGACTGGTGGAACTAGTTGGAACATGTTGGAACGCCGAAGATGCAGCCAGCAACACAGATGCAAAGACGGGCCATTAGAATATCATGGGAATCATGGGAGTCGACGCAGATCGCGGAACCTTTTTAAAAGATGTTGAAAGTCAGTTGATGTCAGTTGCATCAATTGCGCGTTTTACTAAGGAAATTGTGGCCTCGTTCTGTGAGGCCAGGGCCGCTCTCAGCTAGCGCTGGGGACCTCGAGCATCCCTGGGAGAATCTTCGCAGACCATGTTGCATCTTATGCTTGAGCATCTTGAGCTGATTTTGGATATTTTAGCTGTTTGCTGATGTTTGCTGTGTCTCTGAAGCCTGGTAGAAGTCTCCAAAAACAGTGACACCTTTTGAACAAGTTCATCAAACGTTTTCTCTTTCTACCGGCCTTTGAAAATTTTGAAACCTCGGCCGGTCCACCTGCAGGAATTTCACCCCGCACGAGTGGAACCAACTGCGGACGAAATGGCCGCCTTTTGGGACAGGTCCACGCCCAAGTTGGCCATGCAGCGACACCAAGAGTCCACCTGGTTAATCCTGGTTGACCAGCGGCTGTACTTGCTTTGTATTGTTTTGTTTTGTTGCATTTAAATGCATTTTTAAACATTTTTAAACACATGTTTGATGTATTTTAGATCATTCTAGGATATTTAGGTGCTATGGCTTCAAGTCTGCACATCTTTCAGCTGGAGCCTCAAAGTCTCGTCTCGCTACATTTCTGCCTTCTGACCCACTGTTGAGCTGCATCCTGGTATATCCTGCTACATCAGTATCAAACCGGTCGTCATTTTGGATGAGTTGGATCGACTCCATGAAACGGATTGCAAAGGCCGCCATTGTCGACCAGCTGAGCCTGCAGAACGGAGCAGAGCCATCCTGGCCCAGTTCTGTCAACTGTGGGACGCGTGGGAAACTGATAGCAGTTGTGAGATGAGATCCTTTGACTTTCAATCTGCCAAAGGCCCAAGGAAACCAGTTCCCAGAGTTTTGGAATTCTTAGGAACTTCATACGCTGAAATATGCGAGCGTGCTTCCCACATGGAGCATCCGACCAGGTGGCAGCCACGCCTTTGAGCCCTGTGCCTTTTGGAGCAGTGCTTCGATGAGAATAGCATTATGCTCAGTGAAAGTGTTGAACTGTTGCTGAACTGTTGTTGAACTGTTGTTGAACTGTTGTTGAAGTGTTGGAACGTGGCGACTTGTGATCTTTCAGTGATTGTGTCCTTCAGCTTTGCTGTACCTGATCTCTTGACACCTGCGGCAATTTCTTGGCTTGACATTGTTTGACGGATTTGCAATTTGCTTCCACGCTTCGTTGGAAGTCAAGCGTCCTTCTGAACCCCACCAGATTTTCCTTATGGTGTACACACACAGAGTCAGACAGGCACTTGATGCGAAGCACTGCGAAGCACTGCCAGGCAAAGCACCACGATTGGTCGCGATGAAGGTCTTTGATGAGTCTGAGGAGGTGCTCCAATACTTGGCCGGAAGCCTCAAGAGTCGGACATAAGTTGGACATGCAAGAAACATCTTCCGAATTTTAAAATTGAGTCCGGCTTTGCCATGCCCATGCGATGCAGGAAACGGCGAAACGTGTTTGGTGTAGCTTGCCAGGGCGGTCCTGCTTGCAATTCTTCTGCCCAGGCTAGCCAGGTGACTCAATGTGCTGACAAAGCCAATCAGGTGCAGAGCCAAGACAATGGACTGGGATGAGCCAGTGTTGTGTGACATGTATAATGCCAAAGGAGTTTGTAGCCAACCACATATATATATATACACACGCATATATACATATATATATATATATACACGCATATGTATATATATATATATGTGTGTGTGCGTGTGCCTCGCCTTGCAATTCAATTACACCAGTTTCATCCAGTTTCTATTTGCAAGATCGATCAAGTCCACCAAAGCATATGTCAGAAAGATTCAGGAATGCGTTTTCACTTTTTCTCAAGTGACTCGCAGGTGCCGGGTTAGCTCTCCATTGCGATGTAGCACCATGTAGCACCATGTAGCACCATGTAGCACCATGTAGCATCGTCAGGTGCTTCGAAAATGCGCTGCTCCTGCGCCCATTCCGCCGATTGTGATCGCCAAGCCTCCAGCCATTTGCCCAGGTTTTCGATTTCAACAGCGCTGAATCCTTTGTCTCACACGATCAACCATGACCAATTTCTTTGATACCCTTGAATTCCCAATCAATTTGGGGTGCTTTGTTGGATCATACTGTGGGCCAGTGTAAAGCACCTTTTAACCCTGGACTCACGTCTAAAGTATGAAAACCCAATGGTTTGAACAAATGCAATCTCAGGTGGCCGTGACGGATACAGATGCCATTAAGCAAAAGCAGCTTGGATTGAGATATGTTAGGATACACAATTGCCGCAATTGTTTTTTCTATCTTTTTCGTGTGTATTTGGCTTGGCGGACCTGGGTCAGTTTCGCGGATGTTTGATCCAGGATGATCCAGGCAATTCCTGGTTACATTCTTGTAAACACTAAGTTCACGACATTTCACGACATATCAATTGATAAAGGAACATAAGGAGCAAAGTTTGTGTTCCTTAACAACTCTTAACAGCTAATAACATGGCAACCAAGGCAGATTGCCTTTGCGGCTTCTCCGAGGCCTCCTTTTCTCCCTGAGCATCCTGAGCCTCGGCGTGGTCATGTCAATGCTCGGAGCTCAGAGACTTCAGCTGGATGTGTGGATTCTGGAGCCTTGTGTAGCCGCTACTGTAGCCTGTCCAAATTGAGGGCTAAATGACTGCTTGATACATTTGATACTCAGATACTCGTCATGTGGCTTCATGAAATCGTCCATCTATACTATGTATTCTTACTTTATCTCTGTTTGTCATCTCTTCGAGCCAGAGACATTGCTGGAGGTGCGAGGGGTCCGAAGAGGGAAAAATCCAGAACGCCAGGTGCTGACAAGAGCATTGGGTGCGTACATGTGGGCACCGTATTTCTGGAGTTTAGGATGTGCTATTGAATTGAAACAATTATTTTTTACAAACATCTAGGAACCGTTCATTTTTGCCTCTCTTGGCATAGCAAATGGCAGGGTAAGGGAGCTCGTGGACAGTCTTAGGACTGGAAGCACTCTCTCCGGCGTTTGCTCCAATGTACTGTATTAGTTTTTTATTGATTTATCCCCAACAGAACATATGCTACAGCTTCACGGTTTGTGAACGCATGACAGGCACTCCTCAGTGACATGGGTGAGTCGGACGGGCTCAGATGCGCGATGGATGGAGGGCATATGGGGAACAATTATGGTGCCTTTTGTGTGCCCTGAATCGGTCATCCCTGCAGTTACGAGATTGGGAAAGGGAACTTCCTTCCAATTACATATAATTTCATGCGCCGAATGAGTATGAATCAGTGAAAAAGCGCCTCCACAGAAACAATAAGCCGAGCACATTGCTAAATCACACCCCAAATTGATGGCGATTGAACATCCCCACACAAAGCATCGAGGCGCGGTAATTGGTGATATTGGTGTTTTTTTGACCTCCACAACAGCCATATGCATTTGGTGAACAGTTTCCGCGAAGCTGGGAACAAAGGATTACATCGGATTATGCAGTGAAGGGTTAAACAGTATGGATTCGGGCCACGTCAATCAATTCTTTTCTCCATCACACCTAGAGTCATACTGCAAAACCGATTTCAGTCTATATACTGTGTATATATATATATGATATGTGTGTGTGGGTGGTCCGGTTATATGGTTGTCACTAATCTTTCTTGTGACATGGAATCACCCAGAATCAAATGCCAGTAACCTGCCATTGGCAGTGTCCCAACATTTTGATCACTTTACGAGGCAATCTCCCCCGTTGAAAGATCTCGAGACAGAGACCACAGCTAGCAGCGGCAGCAGCCCAAGAGGGTTGGAAGTTTGATTGCATCCTCTTGTTATTTGCAACGTGGTGGGTGCCACTGTGAATGTTGCCAGCTGATCTAGAATTACACCTAACTCGGCAGCTCTAGCGCTGAAAATATAGAATGATTCTGAAGAATGGATTCTGCGAACTCTCTACTGAAAAGGTTGACTGTACAAGGCAGATCAAGGCAGAAAAAGATCGTGAGAGGAAACATGCTGGAAACATGGTGGAAACATGCCAAAGTGACATGAGACATCATGAGACATCATGTGACACTGGACTCACTGGACAATGTGGAGAGGCAGGGCACTTTCCAAGGTGATGACAATGCGAAGAAACTTCTGGAGGCAACAGATCCTTGCAGATGGTCGGATGTCAAGGGATATCATGGGGTCCCCCAAAAAAGCAGAGGAAACGGAAAGATACGGAAAGCAGAAAAGGACACTGAAAGTTCCGACAAAAAGTCCTTTGCAGAATCGAAGGAGTAATATACTTGTATAATATATAGTCTCAACATGTTTCAACATTTTTCAACTGCGTATGCATCACCCACATGCCAAGCTAGTTGTTGGTAGAAGAAGACTAAAAAGAAGAAGAAGAAGGAGGAGGAGGAGGAAGAAAGATGAAGAAGAAGAAGAAGAAGAGGAGGAAGAGGAAAGATAGAGAGAGAGCAAGCCCATGGACCTTGTGTCCAAGGAGAGACATCAAGAGACGATGCGCTGCTTGATCATTTCAACTGCAGGGGTGTGCACCTGTTTGGGACACTGCCGTGAAAACAAAATCATAGTGATAGTCACTTCAAAAGCAATAGTCCAGGCTGCCGTCAATGAATGCCTCTCTAGTTTCTGTTCTTTGCATTTTGGCAGGCCGTTCCATTAGGCAAGGTTTTTCAGAGTTTACACAAGCTTTTGTATAATTCGTCATTTGGAGGAGACACCTTTCGACCCAAACGTGCCGCAGCAAGACAGGACGGATGAATTGCAAATGCAGATGGTTGTGCATGAGCATGAGATTGAGGAAGACAAGCACTGTTGTCCACAAACAAGTTGTGTTGGCTGATAAAAGATGACAATGATAAAAGATTATAAAAGCATATGCGTGGCCTCCGCATGACACGTGAAGAGTGCAACCATTGACAGATGCTTCATTTGCAACGTTCGAAAGCGGGCAACCATAAGAACTATGCAATGAGATAACAAACGTCAACACCTGCTGTTGTACTCCATTCTCAGTCTGACGCCGGGTCTGCGCTCACATACTTCGGGTCCCGGGCTTACCTTATTGCACTTGGGCATTCGATGTTGTTGACTTTGTAATGGCTGCATGAATCAGCATCAGGAAACCAGACAGTGCACACCAAAGCTCCTGACGCGCTTTTGATTATAATTCGATAATTCGGATATGTTTGGATTCTTAGCTGCGGAGCCGTTTTGAGATCGAGAATTTCAAGCTAAGTGCGCTGTGCACTGGCTGGGATGGCCTTGTCCTTCTCTGGGCCGGGGCACTTGCACCCGGTCGCGGCGGTGACCAGAGCACCTGGCCGCTTTGAGGAAGGCCTTGGCCCAGGCAATGCTCGATCTGGGCGTTCTGAGCGTTCTGGGCGTTCTGTCTCCACACCAATTCTTCCAGCAGTGGTGGCAGCTGGTGTTGCTCGATCACGCAGAAGCCGATTGAAGGCGGTGCCAGGAACTTCCGTAGAGGAAGCCAAAGAAATGAGTCAGCCAGATCGCAAAGCCGCCCTTGAGAGGAGCGACCAAATGGCAAGGAAGATTTTAGGAGCAGACAAGACTGTGGAGCAAGTGGTGCCAGCTGACTTGTTGCAGAGTGATGTTGGTAAAGAACTCAAAGTTGCCATGGAATCGATGGTGGAGGTGCTCCACATACTTTGCTTGGGCACTTTGCTCTTGGAGGAGGCCAAGGACAAGTCTACTGTTGGTTTGCATGGCTTTGCCTTGGACACGGAATATGTCCGCCAGACCGACAGCACCGAAACTACGATGCCTGCTGCTGCAGTGACGAGTTACGTCATGAAGCAGCTCTTGGAGAATTTTCCTGATGACCCAGTTCTTAGCGATGAGGACGGGGAGCTTCTCTCCAGAGATGAAAGCTTTGCAAAGAGCGTGGCAAACTTTTTGACATCCTTCCAGGTCTTGCCAGGTGCAACTCCGGAGGGTGTAGCTGAGTGGAGCAAGCACTGCAACTCCTATCCAGATGGAGTTCCACCCAACAGATACTGGGTTTTTACACCCATTGACTCAAACAAGGAGTTTCGAGATGCCAAGCAATTCTGCTGCACCCTGTGCTTGATACAGGATGGTGAACCAGTTCTGAGCGTCATGGGTTGCCCCATGTTGAGTTATGACCATCCAAGCAGGAGCACCAGCCACCCCTCAGGCAGTAGCATTTTCTATGCTGTCAAGGGCCATGGGGCATGGACTCAATGCGTGATCATGCAGAGGGAGACTGGCGTGTACATGGGCCAGTATGGTTTGAAAGGAAAGTCTTTGAAGCTCAAAGTGAGCGAGAAGATTCGACGCGGCAATGATGGCCTGTATGACATGCTTGGGACAGAACAGCTGCGAATCGCACAGCACTCCAGAATGAGGCAAGACATTTTCCTGGACTCCGAGCGGATTGCCAAGCTTTTGGGCTCGGAGTTTGCCAAGTTTCATTTTATTGACAACTCCATCAAGTTCAGTTGGCTTGCTCGAGGAGATGAAGACATTGCCTGGACCATCACACAGGGTCTCTATGACTCTTCCTCCACTTTGCGGATCACTGAGCATGCAGCTGGTGCCTTTATTGCTCAAGAGTCTGGGGCAGTTCTGTCAGACTTTGATGGCAAGGACATTGACTGGTCCACTGGGCCCATTTTGGCCAACAACCGTGGCCTTTTTGCAACGGACCCAAACAAGGTGCCAAAGCAAGCCATTGTGAAAGCTGCAAAGGAAGCAACTGAAAAGTCTCAAGTCTTGTACGAAGAGAGGTGTGAAAAGAGACGTGAAAAGGCCAAGATGCTGCGAAAGATCTTTGAAGAAATGACCAAACAGGCAGAGACCGATGAAGAGATCAAGGGTGCCGAGGTTGTGAAAAGGAGAGGGCTGGAGATGCTGGACAATGATGAGGAGATGATGAAGTTGACACAGGAATCCATGAACCGAGGTGTCCCCATCTTGGGTCAACCTCCTACAGCAGATGCGGATGCGCTGGAGGGACCTATCCCCTATTCGCCCATCAATCCAAACTCTGAGTGAAGGCTTTTTCCAGCTCCGATTCGTGGCCCTGGGCCTCTTTTCGGCTCAAAAGTAGGAGCTAATCTCAAACACGCGTCGCATCATGTGCTAGGATGAAAACAGTGAAAGCAGCTTCGCTTCGCTGCTGGACTATCCTTGGGTTGTGCTTGATATTGCTTGATACTCCGTGGGTCAGATGAACATGTCAAGAGCAGTGCGCTGAGGCCAAGTCGCAAAGGCACCACAAGATGGCTACAGCTTCAAGCCTGTCAAGTGTCAAATGTCTGTTGTAAACCAAGCACTTGCGATTGCAGAGCTGAATAATGCTGAATCCTATTGCTGACTTCAGCTAGGCACAGAGAAGCATAGAGAAACACACGTATGCCCAACCAACTATTCTTTTATATAACTATGATTTACTTATGATTTAAGAACTTTAATTTTTTTAGTGTATATTCAAGTTATTCAAATTATTCAAGAGTACCAAGTCATGCAAGTTCCGCGTGGCTGCCGGTGTGTGGAGTGTGGAGGTGAAGCAGGATTCACCAAGGCCACCTCCAGAGGCCAGTGGTTTTGACAAATTTGGAAAAATTGTAAAACATTTTGTGACGACAAATGATTTGTTTGACAAATCATGATTCGTGGTCAGATATGGTCAGATTGGTCAGATTGTAGATTTTGGGCTGGGGGGGTGAGCTAAGAGATGCTAGTCGCAGAGACTCTGAGAGTCTTGAGATAGTTATAGAAGGAGGAGTTTGCAAAAAGAGAATTGCCAGCAAATACGTCCATACTTTTGAGATTTGTGAGAATCATCAGGTTTTTTCCTGAGGCGGCGTAAGATGGTGTACGTGTGTCAGTAGCATTGTGAGGACAGAGGACAAGCAACCATCCAGGCACCACCACTCTGAGGACTGCCCTCTTTAGGACTCAAAGAGGCTTCCTATGGTTCTGCTGATTTCTCCTGTTCAGCTGTGAGCCCTTGTCAGCCTTTGGGTCTTTTGACCTTTGCCTCCACAAATTCATCCTAGCACCACAAATTTCGATGCTGTCTTCTTACTATGTGAGGATTTCCTCAAGAGTCACGAATTCAATCAAGGCCTGGAAGGCTTGAAAGGCGTGGCCGCACAGGTTATGGTTCGATTCTCATCCCTGTGACCCTGGCAGTGTTCAGAGGAAACTACACCCGAAGCCGTTCAATTTCTGTACACAGTTGGCGTGTTCATCGCTGCATGCATCGCTATTTTTTGGAGTTTTTTGTAGCTATCTCACAGGAGCAGGAGAGAGACAAAGAGTCCACGTGTTTCCATATTCGCTTTGTCAATAGCGGACGGAGTGACGGTGATCACTCTGCAGACGCAGATGCTTCATGCCATGTCTTGCATTTGACTGTGGTGAGGCAAATGTACGTGATATTCGCTAGGGTCATTTGACAGCAAAGGATGCAAAGGGCTTGTGTGTCGGATGCCTGCCTTCCTTTGCGGGCTTGTTTCACAACGACCATGTGTTCTCGTCGTTCAGTGTTGGTTCCGATCGAGATAAAGACAGATAAAGAAAATCAAGAGGCCCAAGAGGCATGTGGCACACACGGTGTCCAGGCTTTGCCTTGCACCTGCACGTCGTTAATTCGGAGAAAGCGATCTCTTTGACTCTGCAAGGACCAAGCTCTGCCCTTACATGTGGGCAGCTTGAGCAGCTTGAGCAGCTTGTGCAACAAAAGGCACAAGAGCACTCTGGTCCAGAATGTTCAGGGAACATGGCGAAACTTCGCAACCATTTGCATTGAAATCATTTGCTTCAGAAGAGGTCGGTATTCCAACTCCACTACTGTGTGGCTGAAGACGCCATCGCCAGTTTGCGTGCTAAGTCATTCTCTCCATCAAAAAAAAGCGGCTCAGACAAACATGTTGGGGACTTTCGGCACACCTTCCTTTTTCATCCCTTTTCATCCCAACAAGTGCATACAAATATTGGTTGGCTGCTGACACTTATGATGAATGCAAAGGTTTCTGAAGAACTTCGGATTGTTGTTGATCCGCATTGATCCGCGTTGATCCGCATTACATACCAATATATACCAATATAGTATATATATATATATATATATGAGCAACCGTAAAAACCACGGCAATACTAAATATGTATTCGACGGACATTGGTTTATGGAAATTGATGGAAATTGTTAAAAACACGAGGTAAGCGATGGGACCTTCCCAAATTAGCGATACCCCTTTTCAAGGTTATGTCATCATATTTCTCTAATATCCACATTAGCGATACCCAAATATCACATATTATTCATAGTTCATCACATATATATATATAAATGCAGCAGTTTCCTGCAAGCGATACCCCCCAAGTTTACCATATATCATTATTGTACAAACGTGTGGTAAGCGATGGGACCTTCCCAAATTTGTGGATGTCCTTTCCGTGAACCTAGGGTTTTCACAATCGCTCATATATATTTGAATCCAATGGCAGTAATCCAGCTGCACACTTCGTAGGAAGGAGTAGTGTTGGAAGGACTTGCAATGCAAATGCTAGAGTGAAATCCCTTGGTTTGGGCTTTTTTTTTTTGATTTCTGTTTCCTTGCTTCTTTGCTTTTCTCCTTTTCCCTGCTTTTTTGCTTTTATAGTTCTTTGCTTCTCTGCTTCTTCCGCTTCTCTGCTTCTTTGCTTCTTCGCTTCTCTGCTTCTCCACTGTGCTGCCTCTTTGCTTCCTTTTCTTTGTTTTTTCCTGCTTTTCTGCTTTTCCAGCTTCTCTGCTTCTCTGCTTTCTGCCTTTCCCTGCTTTTTTGCTTACCTGCTTCTCTGCTTTTCCCTCTTGAAAATTTTCTCATACTGCCGATAATCCTTAAGAAACATCATATGAATAAACCCTAAACCAACCATAGATAAACCCCAAACCAACCAAAGAAACACTAAAGCAACTCTAAGTAAACCCTAAACACTCCCTAAATAAATTTGAAACTAATCCTAAACAAACCTTACACCAGCCCTAAATAGATCTTAAACCATACCAAAATAAATCTTAAACCAACGCTAAACACACCTTAAACCAATCCTGAATAGATCCTAAACCAAGCCTGGGTACACCCTAAACACACCCTCAACCAGCCCCAAATAGATGCTCACTCAAGCGTAAATAAACTGTAAACCAACCCTAGATATATTTTAAACAAGGCCTAAATAGATCCTAAACCAACCCTCAACAAACCTTAAACCAACCCTAAATAGGTCCTAAAACAACCATAATAGATTTTAAACCAAGTTACATAAAACCTAAAACAAACCCTAAAAATGATCCTAAACGAACCCTTTCAAAGAACCTAACAAAACCCTAACTCTAAAACCAACCCTTAAAACTTAAAACAAAACAAAACCCCTAAACTAACCCTAAAACCAACCCTAAATGAACCCTAGTTGCAAACTACCATGTTACATGAACAGTTCGAACTCAAAAATGCTGCAAATACCGTTGGAACGGCAGCTTCCAGCTCCAAAATGCTGCAAATAGCAAGGAAACCGGATAGAAAAACAGATCCAAAAAAACAAAGCAAAACGGGAAACACATAATTCCCAAAACAATTCTGGACCCCATATTTTATCATATTTTATCCTATTTCAACAAAAGCCACTGCTGGCCCCATTCCAGAATTTGGTTCCTGTTGCGTTCCTTCTTCTGATTGAATTTTGAATGATTTCTGGATGTGTTGCGAGGCATGGGAGTTTTTCGTGCAGACACAACGGTGCATTTCCATTGCCAAAGGGCAAAATCTACGAATCCCAAAGGGACCCTATCGCCATGTAGAATCTATATTATTGTTTATTTAGATATGAATATATATATAGATGTTAGTATATTAATATGAAGATATGTATATATATATACATATCTGAGTGTGGGTGGAAATGTGGATTGAATATAAGTTGAAGTCTCAAACCACTATAACATACTATAACTGTTATTGAATTACAACAGCTGTTTGAATTAAGGCAAACGATACTTAAGGTTCATCTTTGTTTTGGGAAACAATGTTTGGCTCAAGGGCAGAGCATCATAACCAGGCGACGTTTGGCCCTGCCATGGCGGCCGTGGCAAGGAACTTCACTGCAGAACTGCTGAACGGCAGGCGGATTGCCATCCCCATCCCGTTGAACATGACAGTCAGAGAGTTGAAGGAAGAACTGAAGGATTTCCAACCGACAGATGAAACTGCCAAAATGCTGAGCGCTGTAGATATTATCGTTGAGGGGGAGCAGTTGAATGACCTTGAGGCCATAGTCTCAGAGACAATCCCCACTGTTGGAGTGCATGTGCAGGTTGTGTTCAGCATGCCGCCGCCCATTCTGTGCATCATGAAGGAGCTCGCTGGTTGCAATGTGGAGGATTTGCGTGACGTACGCGTTCCCTTCCCCCAAACAAGGATTCCTACTAATGGCTTTGAAGGTTGCCATGCCCTGCTGCGGGTTGATATTGCAGACTCGGTGACTCAACTTGGGAACTTTGCCTTTAGAGACTGCAGCTCTTTAAGGGCTGTGACCATCGAGGGCCTGACTCAAATTTCAATTGGTGCCTTCTGCGGCTGCAGCTCTTTGACTGCTTTGACCATCCCCAGGTCTGTGACAAGAATTGGACATGCTGCCTTTCGCGGATGCAGCTCCTTAGCAAGCCTGGTCATCCCGGCAGCTGTCATGTCTATCGGGAATGAGGCCTTTGCTGACTGCAGCTCTTTAAGAAGTTTGGCGATCCCCGACGCTGTGACTGGAATCGGAGAGGGCATCTTTGATGGCTGCAGTTCCTTGACGAACCTGAAAATCCCACGGGGTGCGACAGCCATTGGAAAGCGCGCCTGCATTGGCTGCAGCTCTTTGACAAGATTGGCCATCCCTTCCTCGGTGACGGAAATCGGAGAGGCGGCATTTGCGAGTTGCAGCTCTTTGAGTCTGAGCATCCCCGAGTCTGTGATGAGCATTGGGCGTAATGCCTTTGCTGGCTGCCGCTCCTTGACCAGTTTGGACATCCCAAATGGCGTGACTGGAATTCGGGATGGAACCTTTGATGGTTGCAGCTCTTTGATGACTTTAAGCATACCTACATCTGTGGCCCAAATTGGGCAAGGCGCCTTTGTTGGCTGCAGCTCTCTGACAACTTTGACCATCCCAGAGTCTGTGACATGCATAAACGTTAAATTACCAGATAGCGCCTTTGACGGCTGCAGCTCTTTGAGGATTTTGACATTCCTTCCGGGTCTGATGTCTATTGGAAACTATGCCTTTGCGGGCTGCAGCTCTTTGACAAAGTTGGACATCCCGCACTCAGTGACAGAAATCGGAGAGGGTGCTTTTGATGGCTGCAGCTCTTTGACAAGTTTGACCATCCCTGAAACAGTGAGGAAAATCGGGCCGTGTGCCTTTGATGGTTGTATTTCTTTGACAAATCTGCAGCTTCCAAGATTTTTCGGAGCTGCAGGTGCCGTGCAAAATGACGGATGCGATGTTAGTTTTCCAGCCAAGAGACGTCGCACATGATGATTTTCTTCGACAAAAGTGGAAGATGCTGCATGGGAATGGGTTGCATCCAGACCCCCTAAAGTTGGATTACTTTCGCATAGCATGGCACATGATGGCATTTTAAATGCATTTTATGTGTTGCTCTTTCTTGAAATATCAGCTGCAATGATTCTGTGCGAGAACTCTCTGGAGCTCAGTGCGGCTGCAATTCCTGCCATGAAAGATGCTGGTTGATCATGGTCATGATGATTGTTTTTATGAGTATTATGATTATTGATGTTTTGGATTGCTGGCCCATCCGCCATCGTTGCCAGCCAAGAATTGGTGGCTGCCATTTGCTAAGGGCTTCTATTGAGGCCCAAGCAGACTCACAGATGAGACTTTTGTATCTTTCAACACATCTACTAGGGTTCCAGGAATAAAGTACAATGTTGCCTATGTGGCCAGGTAGTGCTTCCGGGGCTTTCGTAGGTCTCAAGGGTAGCTACAAGATGCTTTGTGCGCACACAAGGGGCCCACCCGTGTGTAAGCTCTTGCATATGTTCTAGTACATGTGCCCACTCTGAGTACTTGGAGGGTAAAGCAATCCGCCACCAAAACTGTCCTTTTGATCTCCTTTTGGGACAAAATCTTGGATCTGCTCTCATGGGCGCCGGCGCCTCCCGCGCCTTGCGCGACGCCTCGACTCAGCAGCTGTCGGAGTTTGTGGGCGTTCTGCCGAGCGAGGATCAGCAGAGCCTGCGGGAGGCCTTGAGGCACTTGGACGGCCGCCTGGTGGCAGGGAAGCGAAACCACACACATAAAGTGGATCAGCGGATCATAGAGGGGGACATGATGAGACCATCATGATCTGATGATCATGAGGATGAAGAACACAAAATCGTACCGGACACGAAACGTGACAGCCAAGGACTCAGGTAGAACTTGAGATAGCTTTGGTAGAAACTGAAGAGATGAAAGGATTTGAGGGTGTGTGTGTGTGTACACCGTTATAACAAACGGTTTTAGTTCTTTTCATTGCTCTTGTACTATTCTAAAAAGCAGGGGGCAGAGGTACCCATGTCACTTCCTCTGCCAACGAAGCTGGGTGACATGTGGTAAGGATATAGATCAGGGACGCCTGATCTACGTACCTGCTATAGTTTCAACTGTTGACTTTCTATTCTTGTTTATGAGCTGTGCGGTGTTTCTTCGATCGGGAACCTGTGTCCGCTGAAATTCTACTGCCAGGCAACTCAGGAAATCAGGCGAAGACTATGACATCCTTCACACTTTTTACTGGCCATTGCCCCACAGTGTGTCCTGGGTGTTTGACCTAAATTGGTCGCACCGTCGGTTGGTTTCGACCAATCAAAAAGTCATGAGCGGGCATTTTCCCGTATTCCGAGTGGAGTATGAATCTCCGAAGCCGTATGCACTTCGAGTGCATTTCAAGCGTCATATGACGGAGTCAAGATTTTACACTGTAAAATCCAATCGAAGCAGCCATAAGGCGAAGTAGCCATAAGGCAGAAGTACTCGTCCAGTTCGGACAAAGCAGACATAAGTCGAAGTTCCCAGCACCACGGGTGCAATTCAAGTGCGTTTGGCCCCTTTTCTTTTTTCTTTTTCATTTTTCATGTTTCTTTTTTCAATTTGTGACTATCATTGGTGCCAGTTTTGATGTTTCCGAACCATGTTTCCTAAGAGTCGTGGTCCACCCTTGCCGTCTTCTGAAGCATTTTCTTCTAGACAGATCCCAGTTCGATCTACACCTTTGCCTCCTCCTCCTCCTCATCATCCTGTTGCAAATGTTCAGAATACTCAAGAGAGAGGATCATCATCTTTTCCAAAAACATCGGGGGTGTCGCTGAACATTGTTGGACGACTTGGACAATACCGCATAGAAGCTGCTACATCTGATCAGCTAGTTCCTATTATGGGTCAGATTTTCGATGCTGAACGACAGGCTGAATGTGGAATTTTCAACAAATGATGATGACGATGAATCCAACACTGATGAACTCACCATGTTCCTGTTTTCTGTGTGCCAACCATGTCGGGGTCCACAAACGGATTTTCGGGTGGGAACTTCGTCTACGTTCGGACACTCAATTTCTGGCCCGGGACCCAATCAATGTGATCCAATGCCTACGCGGAGAAGGCAGACAGTGGACAAGCAGTCGGGGCCCTATAGTTCTCAACTACGATCGACATCGCCAACTTCTGCAGGGGCTCAGTTGGGTTCTGCCGTTCGACAGCATGATTATGATGGTGTTCCTGTTCAAAGTACTTATTTCCATAATTCGAAACTTCCAGCAACTTTGATCTCCTTTTACATTGTTGGGGAAACCATTTCGAAGTTCCTCATCCAATGTTTTCTCAACTGTTTGTGCATCCTGTCGTAGCCAGTTTTTCCTGCACTTCTTTGGAAGAGAACATGGCCACCCCGACAGAGACTGATTGGACTCAGGTTTACACATTGATGTTAAAACGTTTAGCCAAAGATCTTCATGATTTGCACAACAGACTGAAGAATGCTTTGGAATTGAACCGCATTCAGGAGTATCAACAGCGATACATTCCGAATGATCGATATTTTCAAACGGCTGGATATACTCCGGAAAATCGGCTGACAACAATTTCTGAATCTTTTGCAATCTTTCTGCAACAGACATTGAGTCAACAAATTGAAATGACAACACCTTTGCGTCAATTATGCGTGCACCTTAGTTGTGCGATTTGTTCCCATAGTTCCGTTGCTGAACATTTCCAGGACGTGTTATTGATCAGTCACAATGGGAAATTGCTGGGAATCAAATTGCATATGAATGTTCCTCAAATTGAACACGTGGACATTGATTTTAAATCCTGCTACGCTTTTCAGTTACGTCATTTCGTGACTTCTCCTGCTGATCATTTTCCCCATTCTTTATGTATTCATTGTCCTTGTCAATGGCATGAGTTGCTGATTCGGACATTTTTGGATGATAATGTATTCACTCCCTGTAAAGCTACTCCTGTACAGACTGTACAACAGATTCGCAATTCAGTACCTGAGTGGTTTTTTCGACATTACGCATGGGGCTTGGATTTCAGTGCGAAACTCAGCACGGGTTACATATTACCAAAACCTAGTCGCATGTTCAAAAAGGCTAGACCCAGTATCAACTATAGCATATCGTGGCCGCGGAAGTTGGGCCAAGCCATTGGCATCGCATTATTGGAAATCCTCAACATTGTTTTTATGATCTTTTGAAACTTCAGGATGTACATGCTGCACTTGATCATATCCGTTTGCTGTTTCAAGTTATTGCTACTGATGAACGGACTTTTGAAATCCATCAATCTGACATCGCTGGCTTCTACAATCAAGTGGAGCATGATCTAATTCTCCAAGCTGTTGATATCGCAATTCATCGTTTCTGTGCTCTGCAACGAGTATCTTTGGAATCGTCTATACAGACACACAATCACAAGTTGGAACGCACACTGCGTAATTTTCGGGGTCATTGGCGATCTCAGAGCAAGCAGTTTCGAGAATTTAAACTGACTCATATTCGGGATTTGGTAAAATTCTTACTTCACAATTCGTTCTTCCACGTCGGGACCCAAGTTTTTCGCCAACATCGTGGTGCATCTATGGGCTCACAATGGGCGCCTATTTTATGTTCGGCTGTTGCATTAATGAGAGAGTACAATTTTTTCCAGGTTTATCCCATGTTTTTGTCACAACCATACTTTGCTCATCGTTACGTAGACAATCGAGCCCTTATTCTTCCGGCAAATTGTATGCATCAACGTCAGATCCAGTTATTCTGGAAGCTGGATTTTTATACTGCTCCTATACTTCTGGAAAAAGTTACTGGGAATCAATTGTTGGGTTTTTGCATTGACACTGATCAACGAACTATCACTTTCTTTCAACCCTGGACACAAATTTTGCGTAGCTGTCGTGGAAGTGGCGCATCTCGTAATATCAAGAGTGGGATCACAGCTCGTGTTCGCCTCATTTTACACAATGTTTGGCCATCACATGTACGAGATGCTCAGATTCAAGATTTCGTCGGACTGGCTTTTTCACAATTTCCTTCCTTGTTTAATTCTTCGTTTCGTGAACAACTTGTAACATTATGCCGTAGCTTTCATTGTCGATTGTCTCACCACGAGATTTTCAGATTCGCCAAGGGGGAAAAAACCGTTTTGTGGTTGTATGTGTATCAACCATGTCGGGGGCCACAAACGGTTATTTCTGGTCCGGAACCCTGCGCTTTTAGTGCGGGGACTTCGTTCACAGTCGGACACTCAACTGGTCCGGGACCCAGTCAATGTGATTTAGGTTGAAACATTGTCTCGCCACATGATTGATGAATACAAAGCCTGTGGGGTGGGTGATCAACCTAATTTGGAGGCAGTCAAATTTTGAGCAAAGCTTCCTTTGAAAATCAGATTCGTTTTCTGGCTGCAGTTCAGCATGTCAAGAATCAGTGACTAGTTTTGACCAAAACAGTGTAGGCCCTGTCAATTCAGATGGGCAGCTGTGCGCATTTCATGAATTCAGAACGTTTTCGAAATCCGTTCGGTCCTACTGTAGACGACTGTTACTGAACGGATGTCAGTGGATTGCATGCCTCCTCCAATTTTCGAACAATTTACTTTGGAATCTCCAAAAATTTTTGATGTGGATTTTGAGTCAATGGACATCTACTTCAGTGCTTTTGCTTGCTTATAATTAGACTCAACGTCGGATCCTTAGCATTTTTCATTCAGTTTTTGCACCTGCCTCAGGACTGGATGTTTGAGTGGTGGTCGCAAATAAATGTTGTGCATATGCGATTACACTGGACTGGAGATGGAATTTGAATGTTCGAAATTATTGCGATCATCTCAAGCTGATCATGACTACATATTCTTGTTATGCATATTGAGTCGAAACTTGTCGGAACCTTTCTGGTCAAGAGCTCAGCAACAACTGCAGTTCCGGAACTCAGATTTTCCACTTGCCAATGTACTTGTGCGGTTACTTATTCTTGACGATGAGATGGAATCACAAATGATGGAATCACAAATGAGGTCTTGGTTTGAAAGGCTTTATCGTACATCATCAGGTAAGTTTTGCTCACTCATTATGCATTCAATGAGTTGCTGATTCGGACATTTTTGGATGACAAGGTATTTACTCCCTGTAAAGCTACTCCAGTACAGACTGTACAAAAGATTCGAAATTCAGTACCTGAGTGGATTTTGCCCCATTTCGGGGCTAATGTGTGTGTGTGTACACCGTTATAACAAACGGTTTTAGTTCTTTTCATTGCTCTTGTACTATTCTAAAAAGCAGGGGGCAGAGGTACCCATGTCACTTCCTCTGCCAACGAAGCTGGGTGACATGTGGTAAGGATATAGATCAGGGACGCCTGATCTACGTACCTGCTATAGTTTCAACTGTTGACTTTCTATTCTTGTTTATGAGCTGTGCGGTGTTTCTTCGATCGGGAACCTGTGTCCGCTGAAATTCTACTGCCAGGCAACTCAGGAAATCAGGCGAAGACTATGACATCCTTCACACTTTTTACTGGCCATTACCCCACAGTGTGTGCTTCAGGGATGGAATGGTCGGGCCTGCTTTATCAACTATATACATTCAACTGCCATCAACTACCAAAGTGATCATCAGTGATCCGAAGTGGGGAACTACTCGGGTGATGATTTGCCCCAATGGGTGTGCAGGTGGCCACTTTTCAATCGGACCCAGGGATTCATCCTGTATTCATATGGGAAACCTGCAGCAGACTGGTTGTTTCTGGAAAATATTCACGTCCAAGATAGCCCAAGTTTGTACATGATAAGCATGGGGGAAAACGCTCATGGCCATGCCTCGACCATGAGCACGCTGAGCACGGAGTGCCAAATCAAACTAATCCGTGATACAATGAGATAGATGTTGCATGATGTTGCCCACTTGACATCACCGTGTTGCAGCACAACATGCTCCACAAAAGGATGGTTTTGTATACTGTACTTGGCCTGGTGTGTTGCTCATGACTGAAATGATGTAAAACTTGGAAGGTTTCGTAAGGTTTCGTCATCATTTGACACTTCTCCGGGACTTCTCTGGCTTATTTTGGTAGGGCACCTCGATGCCCAGGTGATGGCGGCTCAACACCGCTCCGGACATGTGATCCCCGGGCGGTCCGCGACTTGCGGGAGTTCTTCAGCGCACAGCGCCTGGGACCGGTGCTGTCGTGAGGCTTTAGCCTGCGGGTAAACGAAGGAGAAACTCTGATACACAATGATAAGCAGATGATAAGCAGATGATAAGCATTGTTTTTGTTGAGTTTGAACGGGTTCCGACCAGATTTTGGAGGCATTACCTTGGGATGTCGATCATCCAAATCCAAAGAGGGTTACTCACAAATCCTGCCATTCTAGCGCAATAGCTTAGCTACCAAATATACTGTATTCAAACATGACATCCAATGTAAGCGTCCATGACCCCGTGCTAGTTGGCCACCCAGCCACCCAGCCACTCACAACTGATCACGTGTCACGTGGCAACCTCCAAAGCCAGTTGATTGTACTTACTAAGCTCGAACATGCTCATGACTGGAAGATCTTGCGGAGCGGATGCACCCAGTTTCCACCCACTTGCATTTTTTTTTTTGTGTGTGTGTGTTTGTTCACCACTGGGATGCATAAGGATAAGCAACCAATCGGGGGCAAACAATCCATACTAAGGTACCAACTAGCAATACTGACAATAACTAATTAATCTAATTACTTTGGATGCATGTTTCTCAAGTGGCATGTGACATGGTGTAACCCACAACTTGAAACTGGGATATATTCAGATACTCCCCCGAAAACTAACAGTTTGGTTTGGGCCTGCATTGGGTTCCATGTCAGTTTTTGAGTGATTTTATTAAAAAGGTTAGTTGCATGATTTCCTGGGGAACAAAATCCACTTGAGACCGTACCATAGGTTCAGGAGACCTCAGGAATAGCATGCAGTTCTATTTTATTTTTTGGGAGTGTAAGACCTGATAAGACTCAATCAACTGACATCCAGTGACCATGTCATCATTGCTTGGTCAAGCCCCCAGGTACCGTCAAGGCGGCGCCTTCTCGCACGAGGACTATGAGGAGGGCCCCCAGCTGTGGACCTGGCGTCACAAACCAACGGGGATTGAGGTGGCAACTGCAGCGGTTCGATGGAGGAATTGGCAGATATGGATAGATCGGATATAGATCGGATATAGATCGGATAATGTGTTCAAATAGCAATTTGTCGATCATTGGTGTGGTCATGGTGTAGTTAAATTTGCTTACAGTAGGTACTTTGATGTGTTTTGCTCTGGATTTATGATATTTGATGTGGATGGGTAAACACCATAAAACCCACACCGTCCGACTATCACTATCAACTTTTAGCAGGGGATCAGCAAACCTCCCAAGCGCTGACTCGTAGACACTGGTTGGTCAGCGAAATTCCATGAAATTCCAGTTGGGATCATGTACGAGGGTGTGCAAGTACCTCTCAAGGACCCAAACAACCCCTTCAAATGTGTGTTGTTGGCTGTTTGGCACTCGCTTCATCATGGTCGATGACCCTTTGGGGAATCTTCAAAGCAGTTTGCTTGTACTGACCAATCGAGAGTACAAAAAGGGCATCTAAAATGAGACATGTTGAATTTTCTACGTTTGACCAATTTCATTAGCAAGCTCCCTCAAAGGCATTCTTTTAGGCGTGTTTCCTTTCCATAATTCCTAATAATAGCATATAATAGCTAAAGGGCGTCCCATCTCAAGAGTAGGCAAGAATGTTACGGCTTAAGTCCCCATGTCTGCTGCTATCTGCTGCTCATGCACCCCATGTTACATCAATGTTCATGGTTGAAGATGTTGAAGAGCCAATCCAGCTGCGAAAACTGCAGCGGCTCGTGGTTCCATCGCATGTTTCCACTGCCAAGTGGATCCAAGGTCATCCCCGCCCCGGTGTCGTTCAGGTGTGGCGCGATGCAATTGACCTGACTTATGGCGCGGGTGGCAGCTTGGACGAGACTTAAAGATACTTAAAGAACAAACTATGGGATGTTGACCATGTCTACCCACGAGGAAGTGGGGATATGATCAGTAAATATCAGTAATGTGGTTGTTGCAAGAGCAAATGATTATGGCCTATTCATTTTGTGAGATTGGTTGGTGCTTTCAGGTGTGTCTTATTTTTATGCATTTCCAAAGATACCTGGCTATGATGATCCCAATCAATAAATTAATTACCCTGACTTTCGGAAAAAACATCAACCAGTATATAATATTATATAATATGTACAAATGATTACAAATGTAATTGTATGATATTGTATGTATAATGTGTATGCATATATATATACATATATATATATACACACAGCTGTGCGTGTGTGTGTGTGTTTGGATGCCGTTCTGACCATTTATGACCATTTACTGTGTGTGTTTGCTTTATCGGGTGGATGGGATGGGTACAGTAAACAACTAATCATTGTTGCAGTACAAGAGGTTGTCAGACATTCCACTAAAGGCTGTCAACATTGCAGCAAGAAATAGCCAGCCCCCGGTGGTTGACTTGAGGAGAGGATCGAAATAGTGACGTGCTCGCAACTCAGTGTAACCAGAGAATTAGGAAGATGGGAACATCCCTTTCCGCTATCCAACTATATACACATATGCACAGATGTACATATGTACTGTATATGCAATATATAGACACATAATATTACATAGGCTTTATTGTCTTATGTGTGTGTGCACCTGTCTATGTATATACACGCATATCTACGTGTGTATGCACACACACAGATATATATATAAATATATATATATATATATTTATATTTATATTTATATTACTGTATATAATCACATCTATCATGATTCTTGGGGGGCGCCCTGAATGGCTTCCAGCATCCAGGCGAGGTCTTCTTCCACTACACCAACCACGTGGCCTTCGTCAACATTACCCATACTGTCAAAGAGGCTGCGGAGATCTACGCCTCGCTCAACATCTCGGGTCCGCACGCCAACGCCTGGTGGGGCCAAGGCGTCTATACGGTGCCAAAGCCCCCAGATCAGTGGGAGAACCGTGGCTCGGAATGATTGAGTCAAAGACAGAGTTCTGAGGAAGGCTGGAAGTGATGAATGGACAGTAGGAAGGCTAGTGGAACAGTTGTCTGGACAACCCTTCATGCCCTGCTTACCACGAACAACTAGAATGACAATGATAAATCCTGTTCACTGGGTGTCCAAGGCTAGATGTGTGAACAACCGTGTTCATTCGCGCACAGGTATAGTAGTCGTCTGGTAGAAATATGTTCTGTTCTCATCAGCATTGAAGAATTGAAGACACACACACATATATATATATAATGTTATATATGTATATATACACTCGGTAACGCCATTTAAATATGTGGAGGGCGGGCCAGACCGCGAGGCCCCGGAGGTAGTATGAAACACCAGTTCCATCCGTATGTTTAAATGGTTCGGCCCGTTCCGCATATTTAAATGTCGGTTGTCGCACAGTTGAACCAGTAGCTAAGGACCAAAGAAATTTTCAGCCTACCCTGGAGTTCGTAAAGTATTATAGGCTATAGGTGGTAAAATATGGGGATTGTGAGTGAGTGGGTCCTGATGTTTAGTAAAAATCCGTATGTTTAAATGTACTTACCGTGTGTATATATATATATATACTGTATACATAAAAAGATTAAATAAATAAATAAATAAATGAATAAGCCACTTGGGAATGGATCAAAAAGCAAGGGACAAGAACCCACAAATTGGCTGGTCAGTTGAGCTTCTAGGATTTGGATGGATTTGGTAGAATTGGGGACCTGCGGTAGCAGGAGTGCGCAGTGATCCCAAAAGGATGTAGTAGACCTTGTTCACAATCGTATGGCTTCGGGGGATCTAAACACAAGTGCCTAACTAATAGGCAAACCACGGAAACGGAAGTGCCAAACCTAATGGCAGTCGCACCTATTTCACTTCGAGCCGCTGGCTCAAGGCCTGCGGAGGCACAGTTTGATATGGCCCCTTGCTGGAGAAGCACTCATGTACATGTCATGACTCAATCAGACTGGTTCCATCGCAGGACCCCAATGAGTTGATCTTCCACATTTTGATTCTTTTGTGGGAAGGCCGGTGGAAGAGAAGGGGATGTATACAAGTGCGACTGGGGTGGCGGTGCCCGGAAGGAAAGTCTGGAAGGTGTAGACCTGTGTCTCTATCCTTTCTGGATTGGTGATTTCAGCCATGCTTATTGGATGTACAGAGACGACTGGCAAGATGTCAAAACCGGAGTGACGAGCCAGCCATCAACCTAGGTTTTCAGCTGTTGGACAATAATTTTCGAAACATGATGGCAAGAGATGAACGAGAAAAAGGCCGAGAGTATGTGCCTTGGCTTGAGGTTTGTTCGCTGATGTCCAAACTTCAGTCTGACAACAAGTGACGGGTCTATCCCGGTGCATTGTCATGCCCGATGTTTTTCGACTTGATCAACGCAATTTTTTCCCTTGGTATCTTGCAAGGTCGAATTCAAAGGACAAAGATGTTTGTGATGAAGTGAAACCATCAGCCAGCTGACAAGTTTGGGGCAGATAGGTCACTCAATCAGACTGGTTCCATCGCACCAATCCAGAAATTTTCTTGAGTCATGACTGGGAAAAGGTTGCAATGCCTGGAGCTGTCGCATTTGCTGCACAGCTTGTAGGCCCGTCTTGTGGGCTCTCTTCTCACTCAGAACGAAACCAGGGTCGTACTTGAGCTTCCAAATCTGAGCCTTGATGAATTGGAGTAGGCCTTCTCGGGATGAACGATGCTTCTTTGTCATGGCATCGCCCAAGTTCCAGTCGCCACTGATCCATATCAGCTTGGCCATTGACTCGGAAAGTTGTTCCCGAAGTTGGTAGGCCTGAAGGGCTGAGCGAATTCTTGTTGATCGCGTCGAAGGCGCCCTTGGAGTCCGTTGCGAGGATCCCAGGTACATACTTCACAAGGTCGTTGGCCTTCAGCAGCATGTTCGGCTCCTCAATCGCGCAGCAACCGTTGAGTTGACACCACATCCATCTTGTTCGGAAAAGATGGTCTTCTCCTTCTAAGGTTGCCTGCATCTCTCCAACGTTCGTCGAAATCGCTTTTCTCTTCAACTTCCAAGTCTTCCATGCAATGGGGTTCAGTCGTCCTGCTTCTCCATGAAGTTGTTCAGGACCACCAAGACAAGTCAGAAGACCTCCAGTAGATCCTCCTTGTGGAGGTTGGCATGAGCTTGATCTGCCATCGTCACCACCACGAAGTCTTGCCAATGCTGTACTTGAGGAAGTCGATATAGTCGGAGCACCATCGGGTTGGATCTCACCTCCTTGATGAGGTCGTTGATCTCCTTCGCCACCGTGATGTTCTTGTTGACAGTCAGCTCAGTCAAGAGCAAGTTGACTCGGGAGCAAGCTTGAATTTGGGTCTGTGACGCGACCCACTGCAAAGCACCCAAAGAGGCTCGGCAGGCTGCCACCTCGTCCGAAGTCAAAGTCGAAGAACCATCACCACGTAGACCATGTTCAGGAATGGCCACATTCTGCAGGGTCTCCACATAGAAGTCCTGGTTGAGCTCGATCCAGTGGTCTTCACCTTTGGTGTTGACAGAGACATCCATGCCTGTATGTCGGAAAACGTCCTCCTTCACCGTTCCCCATTTGTAGGCTTCATCAATCTGTCTCCTCACTTCTAACCACTTTGGATTTTCCAGGTCTCCTCCTCTGTTGAAGTCATCAACATGGCCACCGACGAATCCAATCACTCGGAATCGATCAGCTGGGTTTCGAGGCTGCTCGTTCTCCTCAGTCCATACCCAAAAGCTGTTGTCGCCCACAAGACGATGTCCTCCAAGTCGAACGAATGTAGCGTCCACATCGTTCCAGAGGCCACGTGGAGCTGTTGCATTGCCATAGACTCATAGACATTGCGCAGGATTCGAAGTAGCTCGTGGTCTTGAGCACCTAGAGACCTAGAGCTGCACGTAGTTCTGGCACACCAGGGGTCCACAGCTCCTTGGATTCCATGTCGGCTGCTCCTGTTTGCAGGAATGCCGTCTTCAAGTCCAGTGATTCAAGTTTCCATTTTCGTTGAGAGCAAAGGACCAGGCTGAGATGCTTCATCAGCTGACTTTGTACCGGTGACGTGGTACGGAAGTCTGGGGATTCCAAGTCAGGGTGTTGGAAGCCCAAAAGCACTATTCGAGCTTTTGCTTTGCGAGAAAGGTCAGCTGTGTAGGTTGACTCCTTGTTGTTCTCGCGCTCCATGGCTGCTTCCTCTCTGCTCTCCTCTGGTACTCCTTTCCATGTGAGCACCCATCGAGCACGTAGCACTCGGTCAGATTGCTGTGCTTTTTTGCTTTCTTCAAAAGAAAGACAGCGGCGAACTGCCTGCGTCTTCAGGAAGCTGCTCACTTCGCTGTTCTTGGCATTCTCAAAGAGTTGCTTCTCGTCCACCGTCAGACGTCTATAGTTCACCTCAGCAGAGTTGACCTTCTTGGAGAGGTAGATCAAGGGGTCAGTCATGAAGAGCTTCTTCTGCCTGTTGCTCTCAAAGTTCAAGTCGATGTTCATCACATAGCCTTCTCCTGATTCTTGAATTGCAGTTGAAAGAATTTGAAAGATCCAAGGCAAGACCATCCTTGCCATTGTCGGAGCCACCATCCTCCTCGTACTTGGTCTTTTTCGTCTCAGGTTCTGGAACTGGAAGGTCATCCTCCAGCACCGTTTCCTCCTGTGGAACTTCAGGTTGATCCAAAAGAGGGGTCTTTGAATTGGTGGAATCTCTGCGATGTGATGACATCTTGTGTTTCTTCTCTTCTCCTCCAAACTCTCGTTCCAACTCGTCCTCATGCAGTCATCTTGGTGGGGTCAGGAAGGTCGTCATACACATTGACCGGCTCCTCTGAAGGTCTCGGCAATGAGAAAGAGCTCGGCAAAGCTGAGGAACTCGGCATGGACAAAGTTGCACCACCAGGAAGTTCAGGAAGAACTGGAATGCCGCCAGAAGAAATCGGAAACTTGCCAGGGAAGCGCACTCGAGGCTTGAGGTAGGTGTCCATGTTGGGCGCTTCAGGCAATGGTGTCTCCTCTCTCTCCTCTTCTGTCGGCTCCTCACCTGTGATGTCGATGAACTCGCGCTTGGGGATCATGTCACTGAGTTGCTTCCAAAGATGTGACTCATCTCCTCTCGCCTCAAAGAATTCCATCTCTCGCTCTGAAAGAGGTCGAACGGAGTGAACCGATGTCTTGTAGATGCGGTTCCCAAGGATCACCCAAACCACGTGTTTGCGGTCTTCAGCATGTTGTCCAGGAGTTAGCTCGTGGAAGACAACTCTTCCAGGACCAACCCATCGAGGTTTGGCTGTATGGCGATGTCCACCTTTGCGACCAGCATAGATCGTGTGAGGCAAAAACTTCCTCCAAATGTAGACCGGCTGAGCCATTGAGAAAGTCCGCAACGGCTGTCGAATTGAAGAGTTCTTGAGCTTGGAGAGGGCCACTTTCGCTCGAGATTTGCGGGCACATTCTTCAGCAAGATCTCGTTGCGTCAGCAGTCGCACGAACTCCTGTTGTTGTCGGTCAATTGGAAGTGAAAGTTGTTGTCGTAGATCATCATCTCCAACTTGGTTCTGATGGCCATAGGCCCATTGCACGCTGGTAAAGCCTTTGGTGAACTCGGTGTTGTTGAGGGCACAAGTTGCCATCGCCAAAGTCAGCACAGGGTCTTGATCCGGCAGGGATTGTTGTAGAAGAGATGCTGTCTCCGCTGTCTCCTTGATTTGTCCAACTCCACGCTCGGTGATTCCATGAGCCCAAGATTCTCCTTCTGGTGGAAAGAAAGGTTGAATGCCCACGTCCGCAAGGATCTCCACAGTCTTGGCAGATATCATGGTGTTGGCATTGTCGAAGACAACATATCGAGGTCGAGGTTTGTCGACCAGCCACCTCAGCATCAGGGCACGAATGACCTGGTCTGCAGTTTCGGTCTGGTATTCTCCATGTTTGTAAGTGAATAAGGTTTCTGTGACCCGAAACTTTGTGGCAAGGT